TTAACAATATGGGAAATGCTGGTGAAGGGGTTTGGTATATAGGAGCTCTATACTTTCTTCTCAATTTTTTAAAATAAACCTATTATTTCTCTAAAAATAAAGTCTTTTAAATATCTCTATCTTGTTAGATAGATATAATTTTTTGAATAAATTTCATATATTTTGATCAGAGGATTGTACTTCTGAGATTCTCCTGAGAAACAGGACATTTTAGAAGGACAAGTTCATTTATAGAAGGGGAAAAGAGTAAGCAACCTGGAATTGCTCGCTAGCAAGTACACGGATACAAGCAAACCAAACAATGGCGGTTGAAACTGCTCTGAACATGGACAGTGCTTCCAGAAAAATGCCCATGGGGAAACAATGAACAGCTTCTTAGGATAACTATATAAAACAACACAAATGGTTTCTAGCCCCTTGATAACGTAATTGCTCTGATGCCATGGGGGGGTCATAAGATTATGGATAGCTTTTTTTTATTCTTTTCCCATTTCCTATAATATTTTAAATATATATTTATAATATATATTTTTGAAGGTCTATGACCCTCTAGCTAGGGAAGAGAATGACAAGAATGGTAGCAAAGCCGGACAGCTAATCCTAAATGCACCAGCTCCAGTTCCACGAGAACTGCGTAGCGGCACAGGCAGGGAAGTTAGTGTTCTTGGTATTTGGATAAATTGTAAATCATTTGGGTGACTCCCTGCAAGTCACAAGGCTACACAGCTCCTGTTGCATACATTTAACCAAAGCGATTGGCATCTGGAGCTCTGGCTTAATCGAAAAGATACTGTTGAGAACATAGTACAGTCACCCTAGGGGTACGGAGCATACAAAGATGTATGGAAAAAAAGAAATACGGGGATCAAGAGAGAAGGTTAAAACTCTTTACTCACTCACTCACCTACCTAGAAAGGCTGTATTTACTGTTTACTAGAGGCCAGGCACTGGGGATACACATATGAATAAAGTAAAACCTCTGACCTTTATGTATGTTTCCACACTGCGATACATTTAATGGTGGAAAAGCACACTAACTGCATAGACAGGCATAAACGGGAGCTCTGTGGTCACCCTAAGTCCTCCCAACACAGGGCGTCTCCCCAAAGGCAGGGACCATCCCTACAAACTATAAGATGATAACTACCCCCTTCCCCCACCCCACTGAACCCCATGCTTTTTAACTTATGCTGATTTTTAGAGTCAGGAAACTTATTTCTGATTCTACCTCCCACCCCACCCCCTCAACATCAAGCATTTCAGATCAAGTATCTGTGAATCATAGGTCAGGTTGACTCATTCTTAAAGTTTCCAGGCTGTGAATTAAAACTATATTGATCACTTGGAGGGGAGTCAAGTGTAGGAAGAGACAGTGTGACTCGCTCTACATTTATCTGTAACAATGCAAAGCAGGTTTGTAAGTGTTTTATTGAAATGGGGGTGGGGGACAGGGAAGACACCTGCTGAAAAGTACTCCCGGATGAGTGAGGGTAGGTAAATGAATAGGACCCATCAGTCCCTTTTCCCACGAAGTGAAGATATGCATCATGCTGATGCTATTCTCTCCATTCACCCGGATGCCTTTTTGTTTCATTTTGGGTCACGTGAACAATATTTATGGTAGGCTTTTGGAAACTGTTAACAGATTCAGAGCCTATAAAGTTGTTTTCCAGGGAAAGGGGAGGGGAGGTAGCTTGGGCTGAACACCTGCTGCAATCCCATTTCATCTCTTCGAGACGGAGCAGGATCCCGCAAGGTGATGCTCCTGGCCTCAGGAGCTCGCGGTGGGGGAGCTGCCCAGACTGTCTTCAACCCGTATAGACCTGCACAACCAGGAACACTGACTCCAAGGGATGTTCAGAAACAGAAGCTCACAGGAGGGTGAAAAAGTGAGGGGAGCAGGGAAACTGAACCCTAGAAATTCTGTGGGGCTATAGCACCCACACAGTTTTCACACCCACTGACCACGACCTTTCACCTGCACGATTGCACTATCTCCAGACCAATGTGTAATGCCAAGGCCTGGGGCAAGAATTCTCGCCCCACGTGGGAAAAACCTGACTGGGACCCCGAGGGAAACCCAGCCTCTGTGTGAATCACCCTGTGACCTGTGTGGTCCTGGGTCTCAAAGCAGGGGTTACGCAACAACACAAACTCCAGGGCTCAGGTTGGGGGGCGGGGGGGATGTCTACCTATGAATCATGGCTTCGCAGAAACTTCTCTGGGCCTCCCTGAAACCCACTGAAGGTCTTCACTGGGGACTACGGCAGCTGCACACTTCTCATGGGAAAGAAGGTGATTTCATGGGTTTTGGTGCCCTTTTAGGGTGTCCCATCAAGTTGCAAGATGAACTATTTACAGGTGACAAGGCTCAGAAATGCCAGATGAAACACACGTGGGTGATTTTTACTTTTTTTTTTTTTTAAAGCAGATGTTTGGCTAATTTGAAATCGTAGTATGAGCAGTTGGACATCCAGAGGTTTGTGACTTGTCTAAGACCACACAGCTGGAACTACAGAAGCCTGTAAGGAGAACTGGAGGTCCATGACTTCTTTTCCCAACACCGCATGGCCTTACTTAGAACAGAAAGTTCACACAGAGCAAAAGAAAAAGAAAATATATACATTTTAGTTGAATAATAAAGTAATGAGAGTAAGATCCAAAGGTGGTACATTCTGGACTTCGTGACTTCTACCCAGCTAAGAGCTCTGGGTTGCATCTCCAGTTAAAAATTTTAAAATATATTTTGGGGTGCCTGGGTGGTTCAGTTGGTTACAAGTTTGTCTGCCTTCAGCTCTTGATCCCAAGATCCTGGGATCGAGCCCTGAGTCAGGATCCCTCCTCAGCGGGGAGTCTGCTTCTCCCTCTGGGCCGCCACTCCTGTGCTTTCACTCATTCTCTCTCTCTAATAAATAAATAAAAAATCTTTAAAAATAAAAAAAAAATATATGTATTTCAATTAAAATATAACAAAACATATTTAATTCATTAAAATTAAATTTAAAATATATCCTAAAATTGCCCCTCTCCCATCTGGACACATAGTGAAAAGTGGGCTCATACATTCTGTGTAAGAAACCTGGGGCTTTGTGTAAATCCCATTATTCAGAGTCCAGTAATGGAAAAGGCTTACTGAGTCCATTGTGCAGATGAGAAAATAAGGGTCTGTGGAGAGGAAATGACTTGCCCAAGGAAAGTCAGATGACTATGAGCAGAGCCAACACGATATCTAACATCACTCTCTCTGGAGACCTGTGGCGTTCCCCGGGCACAGCACACCCGCAGACAAGGCGATTCAGGTCCCTCTGGCACTCCTCAGCATTTCCCAGGATTCTGTCGACCGGTTCGGCATCATCTCCAAGGCAGCTGGCTGATTTTCATGAAATGTGTTATAGCGACCAAAGCTAACAGTGGACATGGTAAGTTTCTTAACATGAATACAAGAGGAGATCCTGAACTACAATGAGTGTGAGAACAGATAGAGAACTTACGTATTTGATCGAATAAAAGGTATATCCACACAATGTGATAAAACTCGGTGGCAGTTAAAAAAGAAAAGGCAGCTGACATGGACAGCACTCCTGGATCCGTTGCTGAGGGCGAAAAGGCAAGTAATTAGTTTATCAAAGGTCTAAATAACAGCACCCTGTGCTTGGGCACGTGCACGCCCACTCGTGTGTGTGTGTGCATGCACGTGTGCATGAAAGTACATTAGAAAAGTCTACAAGGTTGCGTTCCAAATAACCCAAGCAGAGCTGATGAACAAACCAGGATAGGGACCTAGTGACTAAAAAGAACTTTAGCTTTATTTGGAAAGCCCCCCCCAGGTGAAAAACATTCATTTACTATTTGCGTAATAAGCTTTTTTTTTTTTTTTAAAGACTTTATTTATTTATTTGACAGAGAGAGATATCACAAGTAGGCAGAGCAGCAGGCAGAGAGAGAAGGGGAAGCAGGCTCCCTGCTGAGCAGAGAGCCTGATGCAGGGCTCGATCCCAGGACCCTGAGATCATGACCTGAGCTGAAGGCAGAGGCTCAACACACTGAGCCACCCAGGCACCCCAAGCTTTTTTTTTTTTTTTTTAAGAGGAAAATGGGATTTTATTCATTCATCTTTGTATCCATCCTACTATTTGCACACTTACTGCTACTGGGTGAGAGGAAGATTTGTCTGCTTGAGTCATGTAATGAGGTAGGTTACATATGTTCTGGGGAAGGAAGGAAACAGTAGAGAGTGGGAAAATAAAGGGATTTCTGTGTTTCATGGGAGACCAGAGGCCAGAACTGTCCCCAGTAAAATTCTGTCAAGGCCTGCCATCTTGAATAAAAGGGCAATGACAATTGTTCGCAAATGGACAAAACTTTGATATATATATATATATATTTTTCTTTTTTTTAATTTATTCTATTTGAGACAGAGAGCATGTGAGCAGGGGGAGGAGCAGCGGGAGGGAGAAGGAGAACCCCAAGCAGACTCAGCGCTGAGTATGGAGCCTCATGTGGGGCTCATTCCCACGACACTGAGATCATGACCTGAGCTGAAACCAAGAGTCAGATGCTCAACCGACTGAGCCACCCAGGGGTGCCAAATTTTAAAGGAATTTCAATTGTCTTTGACTTTAGTTAACTAGAGTTCACAAAGGAATACAGGATGATACAAAGGACAGTCTGTGGTCCCCAAGAATTTAACCCCCACAAAGGGAGATGGTTTTGGTGTTTTTGAAAGACACGGACTCTTTGGCTGTGTTCATTGGTACATATGGCTTACTCTGCTAGGCTAAAAACGGCCTCCGCCAAAACGGCTGTTTTGCTTTGAATTTCCAAAAATAACTCATGAGAAGCCTATAATATGAGGAAAATGGTCACACACAGCTCTGGGAAGGAAAAGAAATAACATTTGATTTGAATCACCTAAGAGTGGAAATTGAGGCAAATATCTCCTTATAGCAACTGCTGTATAATTATCCATCCTAATGGGATCCTTTCAAAACCAAAGCAGCTCAACAAGGAAGTTTAATTGAAAATACAATTTCCAGACCAACTCTTCTGCCAAAATCACATTAAATGAAGATAGCTCAGCAGTGACCAAATCACTGCTAAATGTGTCATGTGTTATGGGCGAGGGGCAGGAGGGGGTGGATGTTCTCCTATGTGGGGGAAACAGCAATCTCCTGGGCTCCTTTTTCCAGGTTCGTGTGTCTTCTAGTCACTGGACACAAGGATTCACTTCTTTCTGGGTCAATGCTACCTGTGTCAAGTGTTTTCTGGGCTCCTGAAAGTAAGAAACCAGAGTTAAAATCTCAGAGATAAAGACAAGGAGAGAAGAGAAAATGATACTCACCATCCAACCCGTTCATTAGTGCAAAGATGCCTCCCATTCCAGACGTAAGCTCGTGGAGGACAGCAGTGATGAAAAATGGCCTTCACTGCTTGGTACGTTCCTCTGTGTCCCTTAGCTGTGTGACCTCTGCTGAGTTACTTAACATGTCTGAGCAGTTCTCTCACCTAAAAAAAAAAAAATGTACATATATATATATATATATATATATACACACACACACACACATTTATATATATATATACCCACACACATTATATATATACACACATAAATATATATTAAAATATATATTATATATAATATGTACGTGTATATACACATATATAAGTGTACATATGTGTATATATACATTATATTATATATAATATGTACATATATATAATATGTACATATGTACGTGTATTCCCACACCCTCTGGATAGTCAGGAAGATGAAAGGATAATGTCCATTAACTGCTAACCAGTGACAAAGCTGGAATCTATGCAGTGTAGTGCTCTAGCCAGTATCTGGTACCACACGGGGTGGGACTCGGTGTTTCCTTGCTATTTCAAATGGGTCAGTGTGTGGGCCAGCGGCATTAGCAGCACTTGGGAGCCCACCCCTAGTGCAGGATCTTAGCCCCACACGGAGTAACTGAACGAGACTCTGCATCTAGCAAGGGTTCCCTGGAGATGGGTGTGCAGCTCGAGTTTGAGGAACAAAAGCTTTGGCCATCTTTCAGGTGTGTGGTTCTGCACCAGGTAAACGAGTCAATAGAACATGATCTAAAAGCTGCCCTTGGGGCAGAAGCAGGGTCCTCAGAGGGCCACCTGTGGCGGGCACGTTTCTGGAGACCATCCCAAATTGTCATCCAGTCTTCCTGCCGGCAGAGAGGGAAACTGAGGCACAGGACCTACCAGAAACTGAGGGATTCTCCACCAATGGGGCTGGGCCACCCTGGGATCCAGAGTCACGTCATCACAAATGTCCCCATGTCATCACATGCACCCAGGAATAGGCCCCAAGTGCAGAGTGGGCAACAGTAGCAGCTAGTAAGTGACAGGCGGGAATGGTGCCTGGAAACGCAGGAGGAATGGGATGGACAACAGACTGTCTTCTTTCCCTGATCGTGGCCTAAATTACAGTGCTCGTGTGCTCTAAGACACAGCAACCTCATACTGTAGAGAAATAAATAGTACACACACAGGGAGTTTGCCGTTTAGGCACAGACCATCTAGAATCACAGACGAGACTCTTTTGAAGTTGACTGCCTCCCGGAAGGGAGACCTATAAGCTGGGGAACTGGAAACTGATGGAGGAAGAGAAGGAAGAAGAAAAGGAAAGAAGGAAAGCAAGGGAGGGACACTGACATTTAAAAATAATAATAATAATAATAATAATAAAATAAAAGATAGTTGAGTCTCCTGTTACATATACAGGGTTAGGTTTAAAAGTCCTCCCAGATATTCAGGCCACAAAGCCATCTTTTCTACTATGACCCTCTGTTCAGACCTAGTGCTTTGTCCCTCACACCCAGCACATCTATGGCTGAACATGCTTGTGTGAAGGAATCTGGCAAGGGCACATCCTGGGCGGCAGACAGCTCCCTTGTTTATTTGCTCCCCCAAATCGACGGACACTAGAGCTACCCCACCCTGCCCAAATCCCAGGGGCTCCTGACTCCAGTTCACCTGTCTTCGTTAGACAAGGACAAATCTCTTGTAGAAGATTCTAACTAAAGCTCTGGTCTCCAGAGACTTCCCATGACTAAAGGGGATTGGGGGACACAATGCTTACACTTTGTGTGAATGTGCGTACATGAGAATGGAGATAGGAGACAAACAGGAAATGACAGGTCAAATCCTAATTCTGGAATAAGTAGCATTGATTATGCTGAGTTTATAAAGCTTTTCTTAAATCCTTACTGGGAGAAAATAGAAGAGAAATCTGATTTAAAGGTGGGGAGACTGAGGCCCTGTAAGGTGTGTAGTAGAACCAGGAACTGAGTGTTGTACCTTTGCTGTCCCAGGGCACAGGCTTCTTTTGTGTCCCAACATCCTTGTTGGTGGCTGGTGTCCCAGCCACCTTCCCGTAATGACCTGCCCATCTACCTGCTGCTGGAAGCATTACACTCTATCTTTAAGGCTGGTGATTAGACACTGTTTTTTGGTGGTTTTTTTTTTTTTTTTTTTTTTTTTTAGTTTTTCCCTTTTTCTTTAGACTTTCTTTACAAAAAGCTTCTCTGGGTCTTCAGATGAAAATTTATTCTACTGATAAGGAAAGTGATGGCAATGTTCCGTTGAGCCATGGAGCTACTACTGATGATGTATAGTTGGACCAAAAAAAAAAAAAAAAAAGCCAGCTTTCAAGTCAAAATGTCCCCAAATTGTGTCCTTAAAAAAAAAAAAATGTCCTTGCTACTCAGCCCTGTCTGACATTTGGTTAAGTTGATCTCTCCGATGCTCTGGTTTCTTCATTTTTAGAAATGGCAACAGAACCAGCTAATGTTTATCAAATGTGAGCTCTACGTGTCCACTGTGCCAGTGGTATTCTAAGTAAGCACTCTGTATTTCCCCAGTCATCCAGTACTTGTAACACACGATCACTAATCTCCCCGTATAAATGAGAAAGCCGAGGCACAGAGAGGTGAAGTGACTTGCTCAAAGCCACGCAGCTAATAAATGTCAGAACTGGCATTCTACAGGTGGTCTGGCTGGAGTCTGGGCTCTCACATTAACAGCGATGTTCTCACAGGCGGACAGGAGGGCTATGTGAGATCATCTGGCCCAGAACAAGTACTCAATAAATTGTAACTATTGGGTATCACTTAGAAATTAATTTCTTTGGTTAGGGCGGAGCAGGGCTCAGTATAGTATGCACGTGGCTAATGAGAAGCTGCCTACAGTGTTAGCATTCGGCCTCGAGAGTGTGCCACAGGCAGGAGCTCCAGGGTCCCAGGGTCTCCATACTGACCACTTTCACAGGGAGCCCACACAGAAATCTAATTTGGGGCGGCCAGGATGGGAATAGGTCTGACGTCCACCTGGCAAGAAGAACGGCAGGTTCCAAAATGGGCCGGACGGATCAAATCCCCAAGGCAATGCCCATGGGCTCGCTGACTCATTGCTTTAGAAAGTCTCTGAAATTGGCTAATTGCATAGAGTTTCGAGAATGATTCCTTGTAAAGATGAGGCAGCATGACTCAAAAAATTGGTACAATTAAAGATCTGGGGTGGAAGAAGAGTCCACTGGCAGCTGAACGACCAGCTTTCTTCCCCGATTCAACTTTCCCCAGTTCTGCGCAGGTATCTGGGAGACACATGGCGGCCGTGGCGAATCCTGTTGTCTCCGTCACGGTCTAGCCTAGGGTGGACTCTCGGTCCCATCTGGCCAGTGAGACAGAAGGGGAGTCTACTGGGGATTTCTGGGGAAATTCTGTGCCCGAAGAGAAGAGAAGAGAAGAGAAGAGAAGAGAAGAGAAGAGAAGAGAAGAGAAGAGAAGAGAAGAGAGTTGCAGTAGGAAGGAACCCCTTTTCCTTTTGGATGTTCTTCTGGCCTGAACCACTGCTGTGATAGGTTAGGTCTGCAGCAGGAAAGAGCATCACAGAAATGCTAATTCGATGCCCTCGGGCCATCAGATGCATGCTTTCTGAGACATCTGGTAACAGCAGGTGCTGGGGAAGATACAGGAAACAGAAAGCCCTGCACACCTACCGGTATAAGTGTAACCTGATGCAGTCATTCTGGAAGACAACCTGGCAGTACTCGTGAAATTAAACAAGAGCACAGCCAATGACTCATCCATCCATCCCCGCCCGGAGTCCGCACAGAGAAACTCTCCCACAGTCCCCGCGGGCACAGGTGCAAGGTGTCACCACAGAACTTGGCTGCGCTATCCTAGTGTCCATCTCCAGGGGCAAGAGGAGTGAACATGGCAGGACCAATGGCAAGGGAAGGCCAGATGCAGCCCTCGGATGAGCTATGTGTACAGAATGAAGAGAAGATCTCTAAGAGAACCCCATTTGTCTAAATTAAAAAGTACCCAATCATGGCCCTGCAGCAGTCCACCTGTGCAGCACCCAGCAAAGGCACCCGAGCGGACGCCGGTGAGGAGCAAAGGGAGCAGAATGGGCAGAACACAAGAATGACAGGGATCTTGCAGAGGCCAGAGAGAACGTGCCTTGAACAGAGGAGGCTTTCGTAAAAATTCAAAAGATAAAATGCAACCGGATTGGGAGTCAGAAAACCCAGCTAGTCATGTTTCCAGGACTGATTCTTACTGGCTGTGGGCCCTCTGGCAGGTCACTTACAGCCTCAGTTTCCCCACTGCAAAAGTAGATACAAAGGGAAGCCCTGTAGAGGAGACGTGTGCGCAGCCCGAGTTTGGAATGCAGCAACTGAATGACAACTGAGGACTGTGCTTTCTTGTCTGTAAAACGGGGACGACATTACCCAGCTGGTACCTTTAGGGTGAGGTTTCAGTGAGACACAACACAGGCAGGACAAAAAGCACAATGATGAACGACGCTGTTTGGTACACTTGGGAGGAAGGGAGCATATCCCCCAGGGAGCTCAGGCTCATACCAGGCACTGTGCAGGGAGCACAGCAGCACATCACACCCTCACTGGGTGCGGCACACGGGCCCTTTAGACCTGGAAGCATGGGCAGCCCCTCCCTGCAGGGCACCCGTGGCTCACTCCCCCCGGCCCCCCGCAGGGCACCCATGCTGTTTTGGGCAAAAACCTGAGAGAGGGGATATCTCAGGCTATCTTTAAGCTCCCACTCCTGGACACCTGGGGCCTTACAAATCCACATAGATATGTCTTTTTCTTTTCTTTTGTGGTAGTGAATCCATTTTTAACTAGATGAGCTAGGTTACCAAAAGGAGAAGAGACACGAGGAAGAAACGATCATCACTTGCCTGCTATGCTACCAAATAAGCCAATCTTCACTTTTCCAACAAAGAGCTATTCTCTTTCTGTAACTTCCTATAAGGAAGGGCACATTGCTGTACGTGACTGTCACATCAGGGATGGTGGCTACTCTCCTTAAAGTGAACACCTCTTCCCCATCCCTCAGATGTCTGGCAAAGACGCCTTGGCGCCCAAGTACCATGTATGCCCGGCTTCAAAAAACCTCCCACCTGCAAATGAGTGCCTTTCCTCCTGGAGCGTGTCTTTGAAATATGTTCCGTAAACAGGGATACGAGGTCAACATGGTGTTTGATAACTCCTGACAAACAGTTTTTCCCAAAAGACCCATTTATGTGGCCACGTGTGGTGGAGGCACATGCCAGGCTGCCTACAGAAACCCGTCACTCTAACATCTGGAAATGTGCAGGGAGTGGGAGGCTATAGTCGTACCTGGAGCTTCAGGGAAGGTAGACTTTCCACGGGGTCACTGATGCTCTGCCGTCCTCCCATGAGATCTGCATGCTCCTGAGTGCTCCCAGAGGGTCTCTGATACATTATGGACCCCTTCACACAGCCAGCCCCTGCTAGCAGTGGACAGCAAGTCCAGCCTGGGAGGCGGGTGGTGTGTGGACTGGATGGTGGGAGCGAGGGAGCGGTCCTCAGCCACGGCTCTGCGCTGGTTTCCCCCTTCCACTACCAAGCCCCACACCAGGGAGCCAGCCAGTGCTTGGACCACGTATGTCTCAAATGCCTGTTATCGCCTAGACTCCGGGTGAGGGATTGCAACACCAAGGCCATTTCTCGACCACAGCGGCGAGTTAGGGAGTCAAGACGCCAACACGAGGAATGCTAGATACCAGGGAGGAATGAAGGCAAAGATAACAAAGCCAGACAATCAAAGATTGATCGTGTGTGGGTACTGGGTGGTCTGGGGTCCGGTGGCAGGTCCCTGCAGGCTGCGAAGGAAGTGCTCAGGACGACCGCAGCATGGGGGACTGGAGGGGTTGGGGAGGTGGAGGAGGAAGGGGAGGAGGCCTGTGACCCAGGCCAGGAGCGGGGGAGGTGGGCGGCACACTCACAGGCCAGGGAGGAGCTTCCTGGGCCTAGAACAAAAAGAAAACATCTGGAATTCCTGGTTGGGTGAGTCAAGGCCTGAATTTTGAGGACCCCAAGAGCCAGGTAGAGGAACACAGAGCTCAGAAAGCGGTGCAGCTGATGGAAGCAGTCTATGAGAGCCGTGTGGGGCAGCCCTCAGGAGGGCCTGCATGAAGAACCTGGTGAGTAGGGAGGCCTGTGGTACCAGGGTGTCCCCGTCCCACCTGCCAGCATGGCAGGCCCTGGGTTGAGGGGCCTGTGGCCCATGTGAGCTTGTACGTGGATGGCCACGTTAACTTACTGTCGTCCCTGGCATGTTGGCCCGGATGCTATGCTAGGAGCTCGGCAAGGGTTTTCCGTGCACTTTCTGCCTTACTTGTCACAGCACTCTGATGAGGTTGGGGGTGCTGTTAGCATCCTGGCAGTGAATGGGAGAGGACCCTGAGGCATAGGAAGGTAAGTAACTTGCTCTGATCTCATGGCTCAGGAATATGGAGCCAGAATGCACCCCCAGGCAGTTCGCCTCTAGGACCCGCCTGCTTAACCGCTGTGCCTTCGGGCCTCCCTGCATGGCCACCTTCCTCTCCTGTCATTGTGGCATGTTCGCTGACGGGCTTGTGCTGTGGAGTCAGGCCCACCCCTCCCTGTCTGGGTGCGTCTGAGCCTTCTATTGCTGATGGGCAAATGGGTATAAGGACCCCTGCCACTTCAGGACTGATAAAAGGGCCAAAAGAAGTGGCAATATTTTACGATGTTTGGCGCTCAGTAAATGTATTGTCAGTTCTTGCTGGTTGAATGAGTGAAAAATTACACGTGCCCTGAAAAGGGACGTACCCACGCCACTCGCTTTTCCAGACTGTCTCCTGCAGGTCAGGGTTGCACTTCCTCACCTGCGGTGACTCGATCTGGCGCACAAGGAGTGAGCAGAGGTGACGTGCTGTTTCTGGCCTTTGTGGGGAAATGCTCGTGAGCGTCCCTCTCCCTTCCGCCCCAGTGCCTTGAAGTGCCCCGCACACGGTCTGGCGGGGGGTGGAGGGGTGGGGGGGGGTGCTGCCAGGACGGAGGGGGTGCAGGGAGAGAGGCCACGTGGAGTCAGAGCCTCGCTGCGGGCCTGCCCTGCACCCAGCTGCTCGCCTTCCGCCATCTTGCCTTGCTTCTTTCCCAGCGCTGGGAGCTCTCCCAAAGGCCCGGACTGCGTGTGGACCGGTCGTGCTGCCTATTGCCCATCTCCCTGACTGGAGCCTCTGCTTCAGGTTTGCCTTGGTCAGAAGGTCAGGCTCTCGGGAGGGCGCTCGGCAGACAAGGAATGGGGGAGCAGAGACACCAAAGTTCCCTGAGTGTAGGGCCTCCGTCAGCCTTTTTTGCTGCTGCCTCCGCGGCACAACACCCAGCACCTTGCAGGTTGTGTGCACCGAGAGGCCTTTGTAAACCTCAGGCTCCATCAGAGGACTCAGCCCTTCATTCTCTGCAGGGAATTAGGCTAAATCCTGGCCTTGTCAAGTGGGATGCCTATTGGTGAGTGGTTTCCACACAGAGTCCACCGCAGCCTGCCCCCGGCCCCCACTCAGGGCTCCAAGCTGGGCCTCAGGATGGCCTGAGGACACAGGTACCAAAGGGGAGAAAGGCCAGAGTGAAAGAGACATGTGGGGAGAGACTGCAAGGGGGCAAGGTCACCTGCCCCTGAACCCTCGTGCACACGTTCAAAGCTATCCATGCTGTGCTCTAAAGTGGCCTTTGCTGGAACTTGTTGCATGACCAAGGGTGAGTCCTTCTCCTCTAGGCCCCGGTTTCTCTGACAGTCAAACATGGGCACCGAAGAAGAACATTATTTTTTTTAAGATTTTATTTATTTATTTGACAGAGAGAGAGAGATCACAAGTAGGCAGAGAGACAGAGAGAGAGGAGGAAGCAGGCTCCCCACCGAGCAGAGAATCCAATGCAGGGCTCGATCCCAGGACCCTGAGATCATGACCTGAGCCAAAGCAGAGGCTTTAACCCACTGAGCCACCCAGGCGCCCCAAGAAGAACATTTCTTCCTGATCGAAAATGCTAGGAACACAACATCCCCTAGGCTTCGCTCCTCAGAGCCTGGCTCATGGGGTTGAAACGCCTTCAAGGCTTCTGTAGGCCCTGAGACAGCCATCAAGTATGTTAACCCTACCTGGCTCCTGTATACAACGTAATTCCCATGTAACTGCAAAAGTGGAGTTGCATTTGACCAGGCAATAAAAAGTTATATAAATATGTAACACAATTTCCATTTTGCAGCTCTGTCTTCATATTTTGAAACTAACACATAGTGTCTTTCTGGTCAAATGGACCCATCTATGATGTCCGGTGAAAATGCCATTTCCCAAGCCCCACCCCAGAGCTACTGAATGAGAAAATCTGGTGGGGGAAGCCCAGGGATCTGCATTTCACCAAGTTTCCCAGGTGGTCATTTGCAAACTGAAGTTTGAAAACCACTGCCAGAAAAAGAAGCCGAGAAAAGGGGCTGGGGCAGGCATTCTGGAGCCGGGAGGAGGGCTGCAGAGGTGACCGAGGAAGGGGAGGCGAGGTGATGCGGAGGACAGCACGTGGCTCCTGCTTTGCATGAGTGCAAATCGCTGTTGCCCATGTGTGCCCTGCGTGTTCCACCAGCGTAAACATACATTTGCAAAACCCTGACTCACCCTCTGCCCAGCCCTTCCCCCAGCCCTAGGGAAATGATACTCACACTCCACCCCGGGACTGTGTTCTCTGTCCCGAGCTGCGGGAAGAGAAGGTTTCCAACGTGTTGGGCACATTGTGGACAAGGCTGTTTGCGGACCGAGGCCACCACCGCCAGGAATCGTGCTGCAGGAAGGAACATAAATAGCATGGTCACCCAGAGCGTTGCTGCAGCTGGTTTGACCTTTGGTTTGGGACAGATCCTAGCCCCGCAGCGAGTTGCCCCAATTCGTCCACAGGGACGGAGGTTCTGTTTAATGTCGCACTACACACAGAGAAGTGCTCCTGATGAGCCTGCCCACACGCACACACATACGTAAACACACGTGTGCACACACGCATGCGTATACATACACGCACACATACACACGCGCACGCACATGTGCACACATACGCGCGCACACACACACGATGGGCTGAAGGTGTATATAAACTTCTGCAATGATTTGAGGGCTGGCGCTCGGCCGTCAGGAGTCACTTGGACCCCTCGAGGGCTAGTTTCCAAGGTAACAGGAAGGCGTCCTGCTAAAAGGAGGGAGGAAGAGTAGAAAGCTGCTGGGAAGGGCCAAGTACTGTGTGTGTGTGTGTGTGTGTGTGTGTGTGTGTGTGTGTGTGTGTAGGGGCACGGTTCCCATGGACGTTTCACACCATTTGATCCGGGAGACTATCATCAGTTCCATTCTTCTGATGAGGAAACCAAGACACAGAAAGACCTGCCCACGATCCTGCAAGATAGAACTCTGACCCTGCTAACCTTGAAGTCTGTGTTTGGTACTTACACAGTACTGCCTTAAAGCTGAGAACCAGGAAGCATGGTGGGGATGGAGGGGGGAGTCTCTTCCAGGGAGGTGAGCCTATGCAAACTGACCTCTTTCACGAGTGAGAGAAGCAAAATCACTCAACAAACAACTGAATTCTCAAGCAATAAACGGTCATTGGAAAAAATTAATCACAGATACGCAATAGAAAAAAAAATCACATTATAATCACATTCTCCTAAAAATAACAGCATTTATACTTCCAGGCTTTTATTCTAGCCAAATATATATATGTGTGTGTGTGTATACATATATTTTTTTTCCTAGCCTACAAATAAAATGATGCAATTTTTGCAATTTTATAAGAAATTTCATACTGCTGATTTTTAACATGGGTAATTAACAATGTTCGTCCAACCCTGATCTTCTGTGTGCTTACGTCCATCCATAAATTTCTCTGCAGAGCTTAAGGGAGAGATAAAACCTTTCACTTCTGTTCTGTTGCCTGTTATTGCCAGTTCATCAGCCACTAGTGCATTTAAGGAAGGGTTAGAGTATTCTAGCTAAACAGATCTGTGTTCTCATGGAAGATGCCACTTTGAAAAACACACCCCGCTTCACCCCCCAAAAAAAATTCAGGTTGGTTTTCTCCTCCCCACAGATGAACATGGATAACAGGTTTTACAACAACCAAGAAAATGATGCCCTCGCCCACCCCAAAAAGTATCTCAAAGCCAAGGGAAATGCAGCTCTACTATTCAGAATTGCCCATCCCCCGCTGCAGGGACCAGCCTTCTAAGGCCCCCCAGGCCTCCCTTCCAGCCTTCCCCTAGTTAGGTAAGTGAAAAATAACCTCTTTTCCTCCCTTTTGGTGTTAACGAGGCTTCCTACTGCGACACAGTTAATCACATCAATTAAAAGCCTCTCACACTTGGCCTTGCCTGCCAGGTACTGGCCCTCTGTCCAGGATAAGTCATGCCTGGAGATAGCTAATATTCTTTTCTTTATCCCCCTCTGCCTATGCTTTTTTTCACTTGTATGCTCTTTTTCAATTTTTTAAAATTCAAGCTTAATTAACACAGTCAAATGTCCAGATCTTTAATGAACAGTTTGATGAGTTTTGACAAATGCAGATACCAAAAACACTAAACCACAAAGACACAGAACATTTCCCTCACCCAGAAAGTTCCCTGTGCCTTTTCCAATCGTTGCTGCCCACCTCCCAGAGGAAACCACTGTACTGATTTCTAGCACCATTCATTAATTTTGTGTGTTCCAAAAGTTCATATAAATGGAATCCTGTGATTTGTAAAGACGGGCATGAATGATGGCCAAGAACACGCAGTTCCTATGGGCATGAAAACCAGTGTAGGTGCTTTGGAAAACAGTCTAGCCGTTCCTCAAAAAGGCTGCTGAGAGAGTTGCCACGTGACCCAGCCTTTCCACTCCTAGGTATATATACTCAAGGAAATGCAAACACACATCCACTCAAAATCTTGCACGGGAATCTTCAGAGAAGCATTCATTATTCATAATAAACCCAAACTGGAAACAACCTGTCTATCCACCAAAGAAAGAGTAAATGAAACGCAGTCCCTCCACACAATGGAACATTACTAAGGCACAGAAAGGAATGAAGAACAGACACACCCTACAGCGGGGTGAACCTTGATAGCATCATGCTAAGTGGAAGAAGCCAGCTGCAGAAGACCACCTATTGTATGACTGCATTTGTGTGAAATGTCAGGAAAGGCAAATCCCCTGTGACAGAAATTCTAGATTGCTCAGGACCCAAGGGGCCAGGGGAAGGGGGAGAAGGAGGTGATAGCTGATGGGGACAGATTTTTTTTCTGAGGTAGTCAAAATGTTCTAAGACTGGTAACTTGTATGATACGTGAATTATATTTCGGCAAAGCTGTTGAAGGAAACCAAACATTCGGAATCAACCCAAATGGAGCCAGTTATGACACATGGGAAAGACACCAGCTTTCCTTCAGTGGGATTTTGACAGATGTGTTTGGCACTGTAGCCCAAGAACCCCATGCCACCTGGGGAGCATCACTGTGGTCTGTGAAGGACCACCTTCCCGTGGTCTCCTTCCCATGAGAACATCCTCTTACCGCTTTCCGCAGGGGTCCCTGTCCTATCTCCAGAGTCTAAATTCTGAAGAGTCCAGGAGACATTCACCAAATTCATTCACTCATTCCACCAGCATGTACTAAGTCTATATTTAGTAGAAAGCACATAACCATATCTAGTCTTGTCGTATTACCTCCCTGCTCTCAAGGGACTACACTTTTAGGGACATCTTGAATGCTTCTGTACATCTGGCCATGTGTTTAGCAGGCGACACCAGGAGACGGTGGTGGGTGGGGAGGGTATAAACTCATTACGAGAGAAAGGTCAAGAACTGTGAGGTCCAATGGGGTTGGTTCTCAGTACTGACTCTACCACTCATGAAGGCATACCTCCGCCTCTTCCTGCCTCATGTCTCTCCCCTCCAAAGACCAATAACCTGCCTTATGGTGGAGCGATCAAGAGCACCAGCTCTGGGAACCAAACCCATGCTCTACCACCTACAAGCTGTGATGACCTCAGGCACTCTCTTAACCTCACTTCCCCATACAGTGAGGATGGCGGCAGTAACAGCCTGCCCTGTGCAGGGTTAGATGGGTTCATACGTGGCTCAGCAAACTGAGGGGCCAAATAGGGAATATTCTGAGGCACTGTGGGCCATGCCATCTCTATACCAGCTCCCCACCTTTACAATCAGAGTGGCAAAGTCACCACAGACAATACTCAAAAGAAAGGGCATGCTGTGTTCCAATAAAACGTTATTTATGGACAATGAAATCCAATTTCATACGATTTTCATGTGTCAGAAAATACAATACTTTTGGATTGTATCTGTCAGCCATTTAGAAATGCGTAGCTCCTGGGCTGTACCAGAAAAGATGGTGGGTCAGATTTGGCCGGTGAGCGGCAGTTTGCCATCCCTCTCCCGACATAAATCACCTAGAGCAGAGCCCGGCACACAGTGGGCACTCACCACCCCCAGACCATGGCCCCGGCAACAAGAGCCGAGCCCCTGCGTGTGCTAACCACGCGCTGCACACTCCACGCTCCACGTCGCATTTAAACCTCACCTTGACTGTGTGAGGCAGGTAACGTGACCCCACAGAGGAGAAAGCAAAGCCCTAGGTCGGCAGAGGGACAGCGCTGTCAGAAATCCAGGTCCTTCTGTCGTGAGCTCTTGCTTCTGACCGTTACGAACTACTGTGCCGGCTGCCAGGACACAACAGGGAACCAGACCCACTCAGGCTCCGCTCCAAACACCACAAATCACGATTTAATTAATTTGAGACATTTGTTACAGAAAGCAACGGCTGCAAGGAGGAACAAGGGTATTACAGAGCCCACGGTGAGGGAGGTCCTCTGGTGAAGGGACACGTAGGTTGGGAACAGCAGCCATGTGTCTGGTGCTGGGCCAAGTGTCAAAGAGAAGAGGCTAGAAAAGGCACGTCCGCCCTGGCTCCCTACTGCGGGGGGCTCAGAGACGTGACGGTGTCAGATGCGGTGGTGGAGAGAGAAACCGGTCCAGACTTCCCGAACGGCCTGCGGCCAGCGCAACAGCCTAGTCTGTCTCAGGGGACACATCCTCGTGAAATAGGAAAACACAGTCGTGAAGATTTAACCATGTTCATAATCACGGAAGCCCTGTTTGTGATAGTACGAGTGTGGAATTCGTAAGTGCCCCCAGACCCTTAAGAAAAACTGGGAGGGGGGCACCTGGGTGGCTCAGTCGTTGAGTGTCTGCCTTCGGCTCAGGTCATGATCCCAGGATTCTGGGATCGAGCCCCGCATCAGGCTCCCGGCTTGGTGGGAAGCCTGCTTCTCCCTCTCTCACTCCCCCTGCTTGTGTTCCCTCTCTCGCTGTGTCTCTCTGTCAAATAAATAAATACAATAAAAAAAGAAAAAAAAAAAAAAGAAAAACTGGGAGGGCCTTTGCCCCTTCTGTGTGAACAATGGTGCAGCTGCGTGTCCCAGCAATCAGACGGTGAGGGGGCAGAAGTAGGCACACCAATGTGGAAGGCCAGACGCCGCACATCGCAGCTCTGTGCACACTAATGGGTGCCCTACCCTGCTCTGCCTCGGATGCATACGCATCGACAGCGCTCCTTTCCGTCAGTCACCTCTGAAGGATAACAGAAGTCCTGTAGCTTCCTGCCCTTGTGTGTTTGGACTGGGTGATGCTTCTGGAATAGATACTCGGTGCTTTGTGAGAAGAAATGAAGGACAGCTGGTGGCCGGACAGGAGTTCAATTCTCCAAAGCCGCTTGGCTTTGGTAAAGCAGAAGGACTATGTGT